TCTCGAATCTCCCTTTCCCCACCAAGCTGAAGTCGATGCAGTCGTTCATTGGAAGCCTGAATTACTACAGCCGCTTCATCGAGGGCTTTGCAGTGTATGCAGCGATCTTTTACGAGCTTCGGGAAGTAGATTACCACCAGATCGCACGGTTGAAGTCAACCGGAGAGCCGGAGGAAGGGACAGCACCAGCGGACGAGGAACGTGATCGCGGGACAAGAGCGATGGATGCGTTCACTATACTCAAAGAAAAGATCATCTCTACTCCGATCTTGAAGCACTTCGATCCGGGGCGGGCGCCAGTCATAGTCCTATATGCTAACAAGTGGGTGATCTCGGCAGCACTGATGCAGGAACACGGCGGTGTGTACTGTCCAGTAACCTTCACCAGTCGGACGCTGAAGATCAACGAGTTGAACGATGGGATCGTAGATAAGGAGGTCCTGGCTCTTCTTCGTATGTTGGACGTCTGCTACTCGCAGTTGGTCACCAGATCGATCAAGGTGCTATCACGTTTCTCCACGCTAGCCTGGATCCTGAAGTCGAATGGGCTAGACGGGCGTTTGGGCAGCTGAGCCGCATTGATGTCCGGTTGGACGCTGGAAATCACGAAGTGTTCCAAAAGCGAAGAGGAAATCCTAGGGGCGATCGCTGCGAGCATCACCCCTCGGGCGGAAATTGACGAGGCCCTAATAGCAATAGCCCCGAAGAAGCAACCTCGGAAGATGATCGCCATGATTCCTCCAACCGTAGAGTCGGATGAGAGCCTGTTGGTGGCGAGCTTCGACGGATCGGCACGAGTGAAGCGTGCGGGAGGTGCATACAGCGCGATCCTCTGGAAACTCCCCGAGTGGACGGTCGTTGAAGCGATGTCTGAACACATGCCTGACTTGACAGTGATCGAGGCGGAGTACAGGGGATTGCTGCTGTGTTTCGATCTCCTCTCGACTCAAGCCAGGGGGCGAGTCGTGTTCTTAGGTGACTCCAACTTGGTGATCCGCCAGACGAGAGGCGAGATCGACTGTAAGGCGCCAGGTCTGCAGCTGTTACGTCAGAAGGCGTTGAACCAACTGCGATCTTGGCCGAAGCACGAATTCGTACACGTAAAGCGAGATTGGAACCAAAGTGCCGACAAGCTCGCCAGTGCCGCCTTGCAACGTGAAGAAGGCGAGGTCGTGACAGCAGAGGAAGAACGGCAGGACTTGATCACGCTGAACAGATTGCACGAAATACCGCAACCGAAGTCGACCAGATCAATGACTCGCGTGACGCGATCACTCGATCTGCGGTAAATCGAACTTCGCCACCAGCAGCGATGGATGAATCTATTGTTCATCGCATACGGAGTCAGCGGATCTAGCAAGCCCAAGACGAAGAGAAGTGGATCGCAGATCTAAAGACGTACCTGAACGGTGACCTGAACGGTCTATCGAAGGAAGATGCGAAGACGTGTTCGACGATCGCCGCAACGTATGAAGTCGACGAAGACGGACGGTTGTTTTATTGCCCGAAGACCCTGACACGAGACGAAGATCGCGACGATGTCGTCAGACTGGTGGTGCCGGAAAGCTTGCAACAGGAGTTCCTCCATCATTACCACACGAGCCTGGAAGGAGGCCACCAGGGTGTCGGGAGAACATACCGTAGAATCCGGACGCGTTTTCACTGGCGTAATCTGTACCGAAGTGTCCAGCGCTACGTAGGGGAATGCACAGATTGTGAGACAGGGAAAGGGAAACCCACAGATCAAGGAAGGTCGCCGGGGAATGTGCAAGGCACGTACCCGTTCCAGGTCATATCCATGGACCATATCCCGTCGCTACCGAAGTCCTTCAAAGGGAACACGGAGTTGCTGATCTGGGCTGACCTGTTCACCGGATACATAAGATGGTAAAGTTGCTTCCTGGTGAACGAATGGGTTGGTGGTCGTCAAAACGATTCGACCAACGAGTGAGGATGAGGGCGATAGTGCGTGGAGTAGTGAATGATGTGCGTATACCTATATTGTTGGACACAGGAGCCAACATGAGTATTATTTTGACAAGATTGGCCAAACGGCTACGATTGCAACAGATCAAGGACACGGACGTGAGCTCGAAGTGCAAAGTATTAAGAAAGGAAAAATGTCGACGAGCATTCGAGTTGCCGCTAAGATTACTCTGGGATAGAATACTGTATATGAGTTCAATTTCTGGGTAATGGAACGTAGCACAGGCTCTGAAGTGGTGTTTGGCACCGACGTCATGATTCCAGCCGGAATTCGTTTGGATTTATTTCATGCAACAGCTAAACTACCGGACGAAGTGATGATACCACTCGTCAAGGCACAAAATTTTGATGATGACATTCCCGAAGGGATGCATATGCCCGGAGGACCAAACGATAACCTGCAGATTGCTGCTAGGGAATAGGCAGACTTCCGGCTTCAGCGAAACAAACCATCGCTGGGAACTCACGATGTGTGGGCTCGTCGAACTCCAGCTCTCATTCAAACTATTACTAAGTTCAGGAAAGGGCAACCAACATGGGTTCGATTAACCAATACCTCACACCATACCGAATACTGTCCAGCACATTTGAGCGTGGTCATGCCGGTTTCACGAGGGTACTTACCAAAGATGACTGGATATGTGCAAGTGGGTTCGCCAAAATATGAAGAATAGCAAGTTATAGCCTACGCAGGCGCCCGAGATGAGACGTTGTTCCAATGGGAATGCGAGTTGTACGAGAAGTGGCTAGCGTCGCAACCATCAATGATAGACCGACGACCTTATACTATGCCAACAAGTATTCTTCTATGATCCGAGGAATCGTCTAGCGAATCTGACGAAGATGTAGATGATGACAATGAGTGGAGTATGACGCCGAATATTGCTGACCCCAGAGGTTGCGTTGACCAATGGTCGATAGACGGCGGAAGTCTTGAATTGGCACGAGCTACTGGTGCTCAAGATGATTTGCCTGACACAGAGCCATCTAGGGATCGCGCGGTGATTGGAGCAATTGATGATGATTCGGGTGTTTGTCCAAGAAGACTGCCAGTCGACAATGTTAGCAGTGGACTGACCGACTGGGGGTGACGCCGCAAACGCACAAGAAACACCAGCGAGTACTCAATATCAGAGTGAAAAGACATCTGAAGAAGCTATCGTTGACTTGGAACCTACGTTCGCCTGCGTGATGCATGTCCTGTCTACAGAGGGCAGAAATGAGCCGTCGGATGACAACTACGATGTACATGAAGCTAATTACATCTCAGTAGAAGACTACGCCCAAGAACTAGCGTTTTTGCCCGACTTGACTGAGCCCTCGGTCACAGTGCTCGACTACGAAGGCTCTAACGTCAACAATCCGGCGCTGACAGATGAGCAGCAACAGCGATTACTCGAAATGTTGAAGGGCCATGAATAGATTATGATATCGAGCGGAAATGCGCTGCCGCTTCCAGCCTATGGAGTTGTTTGTGACATTGACGTTAACAACCACGACCCGATAAAGCAACGAGCTCGACGAATACCACTGAGGTATCTGCAGAAGCTGTATGAGCCGCTTAAAGGCCTGTTGAAGACAGGGCTCATTGCTGTCTCTGATAGTTCATGGGCTTCGCCAATCGCCATTGTCCTGAAAAAGAACGGTCAAGATATCCGGACCTGCATTGATTACAAGATGCTGAACACAGTGACAGCAATCATGGAATACGCTATGCCACTCGCTGATGACTTGTTAACTGAGCTGGAGAGCTATCTGTGGTTCTGCTCCCTAGATCCAGACAGCGGATTTTGGGCTATATTGATGACGATGAGAGCTTGGAAGGTGTCAGCATTCGTCTGTGCGCTGGGGCACTTTGAGTGGCTTCGTATCCCATTAGGGCTTAAGAACGCTCCACTGATATACCAACGAATGCTCGGCAATGCATTGTGGAGTTTTGTTCAGCCTAAAGGTGGATGGAACCATTTCGCTGAACGTATGCAAGGGCAGAAACTGACGCTGTTAACCAGCGTTCAAACTATTCGTCAAGTTTGAAGCTGACGAATAGTCGTAGCAAGTTCCATGCTGATCGTGAGTCAACATTGGAACTTGATCCAGTACTACGACTAGTGACACGATCCGGCGGCTGACATGTTTACCACAAATGAACCCGACGAGTCGACGTTGATACCCGTATTCCAACGACGATCATTTGTGGACGATATCTGTTTCGGAGGAACTACATTTGGCGATTGTCTGAATACCTTGGACAAGTTGTTGAACCGATTTGAGGAATGCCGGATAAGTGTAAATTTCACCAAGAGTATCTTTTGCCAGTCGAAGGTAGATTTCCTGTCTCATGAAATATCACCAGAAGGGATTAAGGCAGATGGCAAAAAGATGGCAGCGATTACCGAGCTATCTTTTCCAAGACAAAACGAGGCATGCAGCAATTCCTTGGAGCACTGAACTATTACAGTCGCTTTATCCAGGACTTTGCAGTATTCGGCGCGGCGCTGTACCAGCTCAAGGACGAAGATTTCTAAACAGAAAGTAGTTTGTCGGCGGCAAAAGAAATTTTTCGTGTGCTCCAGCGCAAAGTGGCTGAGGCACCGATACTGAGGCATTTCGATGACAAAAGAGAAGTGCTCGTCATGTTATATGCAAATGCGTCGGCGTTGAGTGCAACCCTCATGCAGATACATGACGACAATTCACACCCAGTTCGGTTCTGTGGCCGAGTTCTCAAAGATGCTGAAATGAACTAT